TTCCCTGAGGAAGAGTGAGGGGGAAAGATTACTGTAGTATGGCAATGTGTTCATAAATGACAGAAGCATATGAGGTCCTGTAGTGAGCTCACTCTCACTGGAGGTGTTCAAATAGAGGCCTGACAGATGCTTCTAAGGGATGTTGTAGAAAGACTTCATGTGGTAGGCAGAGGTTGGACTGGATGACCTCATAGACTTCTTCTAGTTCTAGGACTGGTTTTTTTGAAAAACATTTTAAGTCAGTCAACAAGCATTTATAAAGTGCCTACTATGTGCCGGTACCATATTAAGTTCTGAGGATACAAAGAAAGGCCAAGGAAAAAAAAACCTCTCTGCTTTCAGTGAGCTTACTGTTTAATGGGAGAAGATAGCATGCAAATAACTATGAACAAACGAGATATATTAGCTGAGAGAAGGTAGTAGTATTAAGGGGGAACAGGAAAGACTTCTTGTAGAAGATTTTAGCTGGAACTTGAAAAAACCCCCAACAAATGTATCTGTTGACTTGGTGTAAATATAAACTTCTTTTGGTAATCATGGATTCCTTGCTGAACTTGGAAAATTCTGACCAACTTGATTTTATGCTCTCTGCATAACACTCCAGTTCCTAATGACCCAACTGCAGAACCTGTTTATGTGGTCAGGCATCCTGTGGTTTTACTCTGGCCCTAGGAGGCCGTCTGTGCTAATTATGTGATGGGTTTGAGCTCAGTGCATGCCAAATTTAGGTCCAAGCGCTACTCTTTACAGTGTTATCACCCCTAGATAAACAAAGAGTCTAAACACTCCAGGGATTTTTGTCCCTTCATCCATTACCCCGAAACAGCTGTTACTTTACACCACCCAAAGGAAGATGGAAAATATGACTGGGATGTGAAAAAAAAAAACATGGTGGGAGTCTGAAAACCTTAGACTAGGGGGTGAGATGGTGCAGGGATATAGTAGGTTAGGTCCTGTGGCTTTCTCTAAGAAGCTGTTCAGTGGCTAAGTCCCAACCACCAGGTAACTGCAATCAGACTAGCTGCAAATTGTAGGTGGTACTCCATTAATAAATATCCAGTGGAAAATACTGTGCACTTATTAAAAAAAAAACTGGAAGGGAAGTAAAGGTTCATTGGCACCATGAAACCCATTTTGACGTGCCATTAAATCTCTGTATTACACAAGTGTATTACAGGGTTTGTTTTGAATTTTGAATTTTTTTAATAGAGTTAGAAACTGCCAAGATCTCTTACTTTAAAAGCAGCCCAGCCCAGTAGGTAAAGAAACAGACTTTTGGATAAGAGTTTGAGTTCTACTCTGATAGATTCCCAAGCAAATCATTTAAACTCTGTGCATATCTGTTCTCTTATTTTAAATAAAACAAGAGAGGACTTAGTGCCTAGATTCCAGTATCTATATTCCTTTCCAATTAAGTGAGGAACAACTAATAAAAATAGCATATGCCTCTCTTCCTTTGAAGAAGTGGAGATCTATGGGTGTGGAACACTGCATATATTGTCAGCCTCCTTGAACCTGTTGGTTAATTTTGCTTACCTACTTTATTTGCTTTTTCCTGTTTATTCTTTGTTACAAAAAAAAGTCTCTCTGGCAAGGGGGGAAGAATATATTTAGAAATGAAGGTATATGAACACAAAAGATACCAATACTATTTAAAAAAAATAAATGGGTAAATACTTACATGGTTTTAAGTAAAGGAAGGAAGACATACAAAAGAACCCTAGCATACAGTATGCATGCCTCAGATTTTAAGTGCTCGATGCACTTGAGCCTTCTGGGTGGATAAAGTGAAATGTGATGAGAAATAGATTAAAATAATTTGCAGTGGCTCTTCCCTCATTCCTAATTCCCACTCCAAAAGAACAGCCCGTAGAATAAAAAAAAATATTTAAATTGTATTTTATTCTAAAAACCAAATTGTTTAAATGCTGAATTATTAGAGCTATAGACTCAGAAGGTGAGTCCTTTTCCTAGCTACACTTAAGTAATGTGCCATCAATATTTGTTGTTGTTGTCTATACCAGTGATTTCATCTGTATAGGGAATTCCCAATGTGGAAAGCCCCCTTTCCAAGGCAACTGGCAAAACCTTTTCAGCTTTGTTTTACAAAGCTTCATGGAGGGTACTGAAAGATCAGATGATCAGCACAGTGCAAGTTGACGCATCCTCTGTAACTCCTGTTAGAGAGCTGCCTGCCGCACTGTGAGGGTCTTGCCCATGGTCAGATGGCTAGCATGTGTTAAAAGTAGAACTTGAATTCAGGTCTTCCCAACACCAATGCCTATCCTCTAACTGGTATACCATACTATTTTTTGTGATCACCATGATCATTATTTAAAACAACACAAAGACTACTGGTAAACAGTACTGTTCTAGGACCAAAGGATAAAAGTTACAGGGAGGCTGACTTTAACTAAGCATAAGAAAGAATGTTTTAAGAATTAGAGCTCTCTGAAAAACAGAAGAGATTGTTTTGTGTAGTAATGATTTCCCATTATGGAAGGTTCAATCATTGGCTGGCTGAGAGGTTGTTAAAGATGATGCCAGAGAGAAGAGATTCCTGCACTGCTTCTGAGGTTAGAATGGATGACACCAAATTCTTGACTCTAAGAGTTTGTGATGCTAGGTGTCATACAGAGTTAATCGTAATAGTCTCCTGCTTCTAGCCAAGATACTTACTCTATGGCCGCCTTCTTTCCCCTAACTACAAGATTAGGATAATCAGATTTGCTCCCTACCTCCCAGGTTGGTAATGAGTTGATGGGCTCATATCAGTAAAGCAGAGACACTCAGAGGATCAGAGGCAAGCCCAAGTAAACAGATCTTAGAGCAAAAAAAAAAAAAAATCAAGTTAAACTAAATAAATATAAAGCCTGTAGCAGAGCCTATATTCAAAACATGTGAAATGTTCAAAAGCCCAAGCTATGCAGAGGAATTCTTTGATACCAAAGAAGGAAGCTGCCCACTGACCCTACTTTTCACCAAACCCAATAAATTTTCCATACTGCCCCTCATCTTGAAAAGTCAAATATACATCACGACAGGGGAGAGAGCTGGAGCTTGGGTATCAGAAGACTTTCTAGCTTCACCCTGATTTGCTGTGTGACCTTGAGCAAGTTGCTTAACCTTTCTCTGTTTCAATTTTTCCATTCTTCAAATTTAGCTGATAATCCCTGCAACCCAAATGGTTGCATAGAAGTTACTGACTACTACAGACGGTGATTCTGATTGTCCTGAAGCACAAGGAGGCATTCATCAAATTAATCCACTCTCGAGGTGAAGAGACAGACACTTCTTTAACCAGCTACTCTGTTAGAATAGCCGCTTCTTAGGCAAAGTGTGGGGTAGCTCTTCTTACCATATTTCACCGAGGACCCCGAAATATTCCCCCTGTTGAATCTCTTGGGGAAGTCTTGTTACTACAGCGTAAGCTACCCATCCGAATGCAGTTGGCGCCTTTGGTATCTTTGGAGTGCCTAAGTAGACTAGAGACTGGAATCGGGGAATCCCTACATTGTGCCCCCAAACAAAGAAAAACACTGTTTTCTAGAGCAGGGGCAGTCTGCGGGACATGGAAAAGGGGTTGTGCGAAGCTAAAGGAGGCTATTGCTAACACGTTGACAGATGGCGCTCTTACCAACTTCACCCCACAGTAGACCTGTGAAGTTAGAAGGGGGAAAGACTCTGGCTGGAGAGGACTTAGGGTGACAGAGAAAACTTCTCTGTGAGGTGGCTTTGCTACTTTCTTTCTGGTCAGTGAGGGTAGAATACCCCTGCTTCTCCAATCCCCACCCAGATCAGCCCACCTGGTCAGCTCCACCCCAGCGGGACAAGTGGGCAGTGCTAAACCAATTTGCTCACGAGATGCCCATCTGTCTTGGCCAAGGTGGGGCTCTTCGAGATGCTGAATAATAATATTCCACACCATCCCACCCCCTCCTCTAGGCGTAGAAGTAGAGGGTTCAAGATGAAATGCCCAGGTGCTTCTAATACTCCAGGGGTCCTAGGAGCCCCGGAAAGATTCTCTTACACCATTATCTCCAAGAGTGGGAAGAATGACACCAAGATCGCCGAGTCGCTCTAGGGGGAGGGAGTTTTGACAAGTTCTTAGGAAGTCCAGGAAGGAGAGAGTGGGAATGGGAATCAAATCAGCTTACCCAGCTTGGGTTTGAAACTGCGGACGGTGTTGCCGTCTCCCGGCCGGCTGCCCTCGCGGTTGTATTTCTCATAGAGCTTAAGCATGTGGACAGCTACCATGTCCCGAGCGCTGGCTCCCAGGGCTGCAGATACGTCCCCTAGGCGCTCAATGCCCGCTGCAGCCGAGCTGGAAGAGGCCGAGGCGGAGGAAAAGACAGCGGGAGCCCCACTGAACAAGAAGTCGTAGGCAGCCGGGGGCAGTCCGACCACTCCGGGCGTGTGGCTGCCGCTCGCTCTCTCCTGCACCAGCAGCAGCAGCAGCAGCCGCGGCATCAGCAGCAGCCCGGCCGGAGCGCGGCGCCAGGCCATTTGGAGAGCCCGGGAGGGAGGGAGGGAGGAAGGCGGGAGGGCGGCCTGAGCTCGGGGTGGCACTTAGGGAGTGGTTGCAGCAGCTGCCTGCGCTGCTGCCGCCGCCGCCGCCGCCGCCGCCGCTGCCGCCGCTGCTGTATAGCTGCTGCTGCTATAGCTGCTGTGGCTGCAGCAGCTGGGAGCAGAGCAGTCACCGCCCCACCCACCCGGGATCTGGAGCAGCAGCTGGCAGCCTGGGCGCTGAGACTCAGCCCGCTTGGGCTCGGCTCTCCTGTTTCCCCACTCTCTGGCTGCGCCGCTCGCCTTTTGCACGGGTGAAGGGTAGCGGGGATACGGCCCTGGGAGAGCAGTGCTGGGGGGGAGTGGGGGTGGGGGTAGGAGCTGGGGTGGGGATGGCGAGCCAACCAATCACCTTGCCTGCGAGGTGAGAAGTGCTGGCACTTGGGGGGGGGACCCGCTAGGGGGAGGGGGAGAGGGGGAGCCAGGAGTTCCTTCCGCCCCCCTTCGCAGCTCAGGATGGACCAAGGAGCTTGCCTGCCTTCTTGCCTGCCTGCCTGCCTGCTGAGGGACTAACGGATCCCACGGGCAGCCCGGGGAAACTTTGCTGATGAGCTGTGACTAGTCTGTTTTGTTGGGGCAGGGGAGGCGGGGAGGAGCGCACCCCCTCCCTCTCCAGCCTCCATTTGGTAGGGGAATAAAGCTCCCTCTCTCAGCGAATGACATCTAAATCTTTACAAGCACTGGGGCACAGGTCAGCCCAGCAGTGGTCTTAAAGAAAAGTGACTTGTACTTTCTGGAGAGCTATGTGTTCTGTGTCTATGTGTGTGTTTCTATAAGAGTGCCTTGGCTGGAGATCCTCTAAGCTGCGTGGTAGTACTGTTAGCGTGTGTGCTGCATGATTATGTTTGCCCTTGATGTACATGGGAGGTGACATGGGTTTTCTGGCTGGTGTCTTTAAGAGTGCAAGATGACAATTTGCATTCTAGCAGCTGAGAGCCTGGGTAAGCCGGAGATGGGGGCTGCCCTTTGGAAACGCCAACGTCTTAGGGCCACAATCGCCAAAATCAGAGCCTTTGGAAACATTCCTAATACATGTTTTTAAAAAGCACAACTGATGCGTGGGATACTACAAGAACCTGTTTAAAATGCGAAATTAATTAGTGTGGTTGCATTCTGGCAGGATTCTGTTTTAGTAAGAGTGATTCCAGAGGTTGGAGCAAAGGCATTTATTAATTCTGGAACTTTTAAACAGCAAGACTACAAGGAAAGAGGGGCTTTTAGCTCATTTTAACAAGTGATTCTAAAGTATTAGTTGATCTAAGCATTCAGAGAGTTGGATGACTCTCAAGAAAACAATTAGTTACATTTTTGGAGGAATGTTTAAAATGTTTAAAAATAGAATGCATATTCCTTGGCTTCCTATTAAAAGCAAGACCTGCCTAACAGTAGTTCTAGACAGTTCTGCACCTCATGTCACACCGAATGTGAATGACCACAGCTTAAGAATGACAGTGGACATCTTTAGAAGGATGGCTTGCAAAAGGTAAGGAAGACAAAATATTATATTTAAAATAAATTTGTTTGCAAGCTTCTGAACATACTGTTCCAGTTACTTTGTCTGCTCTTTCTGTCTCAGTCAGCAGTTACTTTTCTTGGAGAGAACACAATGCAATAATTGAAAAATTGCTGGAAAAAAGCTACTGTTGGTGTGTAACACAACCCTTTTGTGATTTTTTTAAACCTTGGGTTGTCAAATTGGAGTCAATACTACTCACAACTTCTGAACCTTCCCTCTCTTTGCAAGATTCCAAGAGCTATAAATGTCTTACTCATTTGGAGCATTAACTCATGCCACAGTTTAGCTCCCCTCAATATAGCTAACATATTATAGATGCAATTTCCAGAAACAAATTTGCTGAAAAAATCAATAATAAAGAAGTAGCAGCCATTGAATTAATTAATCTTTCCTTATAAATAATCCAGACCATCTTTTGATGCTCCCCTTCCTTCCCTCTCCAACCCCCCCCCCCATGCTTATGACCTCCACTGGGGGCGGGAGCTAACCTCTTGTTATTTGTGGGTTTTTGTCTGCACTGTTTCTATACAATCAAGGTCCTGTGAAAAGGAGGACGAGTCTGCAGGAGGTAGAAACAAGCTGGGCTATTCTGGACCAGTGTCCCATTAAAATGTTCTCTCTCTCTCTTTAACTCATTCCCAACTTCCATTCAAACAAATGTCTCTGTATTTGTCTTAAACCTACACTGAAACCTGTAGGATACTGATACTTTGATGTTGTTAGTAAAGAATTAGGGAATCAGCTACTGATGGCTAATATTTCTCACCTTATTTTATTGCAGAGCAGCAGGCTTGAAAAGTCTTAAAAGCTATAATACTTTGACCTGTTTTGAGTGAAGATGAACTCAAAATGAGTTTGGTAAAGGAATGCAAATCACCCCTGGATCACATCACTTCTCTGTTCAGAATACGACCAATCAATGGAATCGCTAAGGTACTCCACGAGTGTTTGTTAAGCACTTTCTGCTCATGCAGAATAATATTCCCGAGCATGGAAATTTCTGCTAATTAAAAGCCTTGCCAAGTAAAGAGGGATTTTATTTTTAATAGTGCAGTTTCAGTTAAGCATTTAAATGGGGTACCGTGGGCTTCAGATTTGAAACTACACATCTAAAGTTTCCAGCTTCTTCCTGTTCAGATCATCATTGCCCCCGTATGGCACAAATGGTGTTACACACCATTAATAATGAGGTTGGCCCAGTTCTGTGCCATTTGGAGGTTGGGCTGTTATAAACCTATGGAGGGACAGCCTCCTGCAGGGTTATGAGGAGGAAGGGTGGGTAGAGGAGAATTATTCTCTGGCCTCTCCTTTCTGGGAATTGGAACAGCATCGTGGCTATCACTCTCCCTAAACCCTGGGGGCAACAGAGACCAAGTGAGTTCAACCAAATACTCCCCTGGGAGCAGTCATGGGACTAACTGACCACTGTCTTGGTTTCCAAAGCACTTTTCCATAGCTGTGTTCACTTGGAGACTTAACAACGGTGGGGCTTGGTTAGCTCTGCCAAACAGATGGTGTAATCAACTAAAGAAAATTCAGTTTATTGGTTATGCAGCATCCTGTAGACACATGCATCATTAATAACAACAACAACAAAACCACTAACCTGAAGTACTTCAAATGTTTGTTTCTTATCCTGATAGAGTCAGAGTCCAGTTTTAAACTTGACTTTGCCACTTGCCATCTGAGGTCTTGGCCAAATCACTCTCTGGGATCCAGTTTTCTCATCAGTTAAATGAGAGAATTGGACCAGATAATTTATAAGGACCTTTCTAGTGCTGGCATTCTGTGAGTCAGTCTAATTGTGTCCTGTAGACATCATTGGAGATACAGAGGAAATATTAGAAGAGGCTGTTTGTAGATTGGCTGTTAAACATAGGTTGTGTTCTGAGGTAGGATCTAGGAGAGGATACTGAGGAGTTCACTTGTCCCAATAGACTCTTTCCTTCATTATTTCTTCTTTCCTCCTCCTCCTACCTCCATGCCATACGCCACATGCACTTAAAGAACACATATTACCTAGTGCACAGGGGAGAAATGAGCAGATTATATCTGCAAAGGAAAGAAAATATTTTTTTGGTTAAGAAGTCCCAGACCCTCTACAAAAGAGTCATTGTGATCCCTTCATATGTGTGAGTATAACACAAAAGATGATTACAGAGACTGTTTCACATCTTTAAAAAAACACCTTTTGCTTTGAGAACTTCAAAGTTCTTTACTCCTAAAAAAAAGGAAGGGTTATAGCCCATTCCTCCCTTTAGGGTATATAACTTGGATGAAAAAAGAGGCCAGGAGATTTTAAATGATTTGACCAAGATCATGAAGTGGTGATGCCAAGAATATGAGGGCTTTTTTTTTTCAATTTCAAGTTCTCTCTTCTAGTCATTAGACCACAGTATAATAAATCAGAGTAAAAACAAACATAAATAACAATATAATACATGGCATATCTCTTCTGCTCTGGTGAAATATGTACTTACAATACACACATAAATATCTATTTAATATTTTACAAGCTATAGGAAAAGTGAAATAATGATCTACTTTGTTGTTTTATCAATTCACACACACCCTTTTTAAAGTCAGTAGAAGTGCAGATTGTAAAAGTCAAATGCTCCAGACTTGATAAAACAGAAAATATTCCTTTAATTGACCTTGAATCCAGATCTCTCCCCAAAGGACAGAGGAAGCCATTTGTATTGGACCAAATTACCAGAGACATGGGAATAAAACCAGATTATAGCACATTGTCTCCAACTGTAATTTGAGTCTGCCTGGACTTGGTTTGATGAAATAAAGTGCATTCTAAATAAACACTAGAATCAGTACTATTTCCCATTAAAACTTAACTGTGGTACTATTTAGAACTCTTCCCATGAATTCAGCCCTGTGGGGAATGACAGTCCAAGTGGAATTTAGGGAAGAAGGTAGGGGAACAGGGTGGTAAATAAAAGAAGAATGATTTTAATCCAGGAAAAATGATGGGAAAGGAGGGAGCCCTTTGATAATGACTGGTTCACATGACTGTGCTATTCCCTTAGCTAAGATAGTTCCATTCTCAAGATGGATCTCAGCTTCCATTGAAAAGCATATCACTGAAGGGGCAAGGCGTTGAAGAGGAGGAAGAATAGGTACAATGAAAAACCCAACAACTGATGTGATGCTTTCACATCTCTCTTATAAATTACATAATGAGAGATGATGGATGTGAATGTATGTTGCTTTTAGCAAAACATTTAAGATGGATCTCTATGCAGTAACTACCATGATTTCATTCAGATCACTCTTGCATTTGGATAATAGAGAGGCAGCCTAGCATGGTTGTCTAAAATGTTAGACCTGGAGTCAGAAAGAAGTGGGCTCAAGTATGCCTCTGAATCTCTGCTAAGAATATGACTCTGGTCAAGTCACTTAAAGTTGCTAGACCTCAGCTTCCTCA